TCAAGCTCCACCAGGCAGGGGGTGCAGCCTCAGGTCCCCCGTTAAGCCCCGCCGGGGTGGGAGGCAAGGCCTCAGGTCCCCCAGCCCCAGTGCTGGGGCAGGAAGCGCAGACTCAGGTCCCCAGGCCCAATCTCAAGTTCCCCGGCGCCCAGGCGGGGGGCGCAGCCTCAGGTCCCCCGGTCCGGCACCGGGGTAGGGGATGCGGCCTCAGGTCCCCCGGCCCCAGTGCGAGGGCGCGGGTGCGCGAGGGGGCGAGGGTGTGACAACCACTTGCATATTAGCTCTTTATTATATAGGATTAGACTTATAAGACATCTCTAAAATAACTCCATCCAACATCAGCAAAATACACATAATTCTGACATGTACATGAAATGTTCTTCTAGAGAGACCAATGTTAGGCCATAAAACAAAGTTAACAAATTTACAAGACTAATTATAATACAAAGTATATTCTCTGACCATAATGAAATAAAATTAGAAATAAATAATATAAATAAATTTTTGGAATTCAAAAATATTGTGGGAATAAGCAACAAATTACTAAAAAATCAATGAGTCAAAGAAGACATCAAAAGGGAAATTATAGGATATTTTAAGATTAATGAAAATAAAGTCACAAGTTCCTAAACATAAGCAGGTAAGGCAGCACTTAGGGAGAAATGTATCAATGGAAATGTTTATATTTCTTTTAAAAAGACTTCATATCAACAACCAAATCTCTCACTTTTTAAACTGAACAAAAGAACAAACTAAAATTAGTCAAGCAGAAGGAAGAAAATAATAAATATTACAGCAGAAATTAATGAAATAGAGAAAAGCAATAGATAAAACACAATTAACTCAAAAGCTGATTCTTTGAAAAGATTAAAATGACAAACCTATACCTACAATGATTAGCATACTAATACAGTGGGGCAAAAGAATTTTAAAAGAATTGTTTGTATGGAAAATAATACAATAATTAATAAATAATAATACAAGAATAAACTCTTGTTTCACATACTCACAGATGTAAACCCACCTTTGCCCATCCTGTATTTTTATCTCAATGAAAGATCACCTTAGTAAATACAGGAAAGGCATCTGACAAAATCCAACATGCTTTTATGATACAAAGCATTCAGCAAGTTAGAAATAGAAAGGAATTTCCTCAGTATTATAAAATGCATCCATGAAAAATCCACAGCTAACAACGTACCTAATGCTGAACGACTAAAAGCTATCCCCGGAGGATCCCCCCCCCCTCCCCCGCAGCACACCCGTGCCTTTTCCTTTCCCTTATTCATTTCTGTTCAATATGATACTGGAGGTTCCAACTAAAGTAATTACTCAATAAAAAATAAAAAGCATTTAAATTAATAGGAAGTTTAAAATTATCTCTATTTGCAGATGACAATCTTATAAATAAAAAAATCTCAAATCCACAAAAACTATTAGTGCTAATAAGTTCAGCAAGATAACAAGATATAAAATCAATACACAAAAATCAACTGTATTTCTATATACTAGCAAAAAAATCTGAACATGAAACGTAAAAATTCACTCACAAAAGCATTAATACTAATAAAATACAAGAGCGTATATTTAACAAAAGAAATCCAAGAATTCTGACATTACACCTATAGCAAAAACTTCAACACATCTTCTAAAGAAATTATAAAAACCCAAATAAATGTAAAGATATCCTACATTCATGGATTAAAAGACACAATACTGATATAATGATTATATTCTCCAAATTGACCTATAAATACAACATACTATCTGTCAGAATTTCAGCTGTCTTACTGTGGTGTTGGTGGGTTTTTGCAAAAATTGACAAGATGACCATAACATTCATGGGGAAATTCAAGGGACACCACATAGATAAAATATATTTTTTAAAAAGAACACATTTGGCCCTAGCTGGTTTGGCTCAGTGGATAGAGAGTCAGCCTGAGGATCAAAGGGTCCCAGGTTCAATTCTGGTCAAGGGCACATGCCTGGGATTGCAGGCTGGATCCCCAGTAGGGGGCGTCCAGGAGGCAGCCAATCAATGATTCTCTCTCATCATTGATGTTTCTTTCTCTCTCTCCCTCTCCCTTCCTCTCTGAAATCAATAAAAATATATATAAAAAAATAAAATAAAATAAAAAGAACACATTTGAAAGACACCCCAATTTCAAAATTTGTTGTATGAATTATCAAGAATAGACAAATCTATAGAAATAGAAAGTAGATTAGTGATTGTTTAGGACTCAGATAGGCAGAAGAAAAATAGAAAGGTGATAGCTAAAGGGTATAGCACATCTTTTCCGAAGGATGAAATGTTCCACAATTCACTATGTTGATAGCTGCACATATTTGTGAATATACTAAAAATAATTGGATTATATACTTTATTTTTTCCCATTGATTTTTTAAATCATTACTGTTGAGAGCATTACAAATGACCCCTTTTTCCACCCACTGCCCCCCTCCACCCAGTTCCCGCCCCACCCCAGAAGTTCATCCCCATACTGTGTCCATAGGTATTATCTTTGGTTTCTCTTCCCATGCCTCCTTCCAGCCTTCTCTCTGAGATTTGTTAGTCTGTTCCATGGATCCATGCCTTTGATTCTGTTTTATTCACATTTATTTTGTTCATTAGATTTTGATTTTTAGATTTTATTACTGATAGATATGTATTTGTTGCCATTTTATTGTTCAGATTTTTATCTCTTTTCTTTTTCTTTCTTCTTCTTTTTCTTCTTCCTTCTTCCTCTTCTTTCTTCCTCTTCTTCCTCTTTCTTGTATCTTCCTTTTCTTCTTCTTAAATAATATCTTTTTGCCCTAACTGGTTTGGCTCAGTGGATAGAGCGTCAGCATGTGGACTCAAGGATCCCAGGTTCGATTCCAGTTAAGGGCATGTACCTTGGTTGCGGGCACAACCCCAGTGGTGGGTGTGCAGGAGGCAGCTGATCGATGTTTCTCTCTCATCGATGTTTCTAACTCTCTATCCCTCTCCCTTCCTCTCTGTAAAAAATCAATAAAATATATTTAAAATAATAATAATAATAATAATATCTTTCAACATTTTATATAATACCGGTTTGGTGCTGATAAACTCCTTTAGCTTTTTCTTGTTTGTAAAGCTCTTTATCTTACCCTCAAGTCTAAATGATAACTTTGCTGGGTAGAGTAATCTTGGTTGTAGGTCCTTACTATTCATTATTTTGTTTTTTGTTTTTTTGTGGTTTTTTTGTTTGTTTGTTTGTTTTTTTGAGGAGAAATGCAGGGGCTTTTTATAATCAGTATTATTCTTCAAGTTAACAATTGGTACTCATTGAGGAAACAGTATGCTTTCAGCGAGCCACAGATACATGCCAGGTGCAACTACAAGTTCATAAACATGCCCCTTGGGAAACAGCACAGGGCTCCTGCCTGCAAACCCAGGTATCAACAATGCACCTACATTTCTGTAGCAGAAGGTGCAAGGGTCTGCACAGGCCTGACCTGCACTGCCTGCTCTCAGCGCCCTTCTGGGATGCCAACTCTGGGGGGTAGGGTGGGGGTGAGGAGCTGCTTGCTCTGTGTGCCCCACGACCATGCTGCCCACAGAGTGTGCCTCTCCAAAGCCAGCTTTGGTGTATACCAACCTCTCAGACTAATACCAGATGTGATCACATGGTACCTTGAAGGTTAGACTCCAGCTTCCGCAAGCTAGTGGGAGGAAACGACACGGCCTTCAGAAAGCCAGGCAGGGCTTTTCCCTCAGGGGATGGCATGGGTCTGCCTAGGTCTGAGTCACCCCTGCTCATTGCAGCTCTGGACTGAATGGCATCGCAAGGCTGGTGGCGGGCACGCTGCTCACAGTGCACTGCTGGCCTGCAGCAAATGCCACTGCTGGCAAGTGGGGTGGCTGGTGGGAGGGCCCTCCCCAGGCCTCTGCTCAGGAAGATCTGAAGGAACCTTTGGCTTTTCAGAAAAGCAGGCACTCCACC